TAGTCACCTGAAAAAGCACCGGCATCGTTTGAAAATAAACGAAGTTACGCACTGAGAGTAATCTGTCACATTGCCCTAAGCATAGAAAGTGGGAAAATGGGGGGAAATGGGGAACAAGCACGGGAAATTCACAAACCTCAGAAGCATGTATGTCCTCGATTACTTATGGCATGATTGTTGCGGAGTTGGTCATAAAAATAACATTAAAGGAGATGAAATGATAATGATCTACAAACAACTCAAGAGATCCTTATTCATACTTTTGTTTCATTTTTGACCAACAGTACACATATTTAATATTTCATGAATGTTTGGAACATACGACGCCAATATTAAAAAATAAAAAAAAATTCAAAATTTTTTTTTAATGAAATAGATCCGAACCGATTACCATTATTCAGCAGCACTTCAAAAATTAGTTTTGCAATTCCAAATCTTTGCGAATTTTTTCAAAAAAATCAATCACGATATATTTACCGAAATTTGAGTTTTCTCTGATTTTTTCAGGATTTCTACGTTTTAGGCATCAGGAAGTAAGAGGAAAAATATGAAAAAAATATATTCCATTAGGCCATGAAGAAAAAAAGATTTTCTGTTTTTGTTTATTGCAATCGATTGAATAGTACGGTAGTTATGCTGGAAAAACCAAAGAAACATTACAAAATTATATGTTTGCGGTGGATTATTTAAAAAATTTGAAAGAATTCAGGAGATGTGCTTTTATATATATTTATCACTATAAAAATCGCTGTCAATTTTTGAGAGGGTCAGGGTCGACGACTTGTTGATTTAACATGGAATACCTCATATAAAGTGGATATATTATAGGTTGTGAGTGATTTGTCGTATGTATCATTTGAACACTTAATGAGTACCACAAAAGTTTCCATCGAACGTATACAAGACGAAATAAAGATGATTATTTCGTAAGACATCTTCGGCTGTTACGTAAGCGGATAGAGTGATAAAAATTCTAGTTATTTGATTTTTTAATATCGTACTGATTACTGAATAGTGTCAGAATAACGGATGATACTGTGCTTCTATTCGATAGCTGGAACAACCGTTCTCTTTGATCGAAAGATGCGAACAGACGATTTTTCATTTCAAATTGGACCGGAAATTCTGAATGGACGAAATTGTCTCTTCTGTGCTGTATACGAGTCATTCCACTCAGTATTCAATGTAAATCCGGCGTAACAATAGCCAGTTCATTTTTAGGCCTCCTTTGTGTATTATTTATAAATCAGGTATTCCATGTCAAATGACTCCATGGCTGACCCTCACCCTCTTGGAAATTGATTGTGATTTTTTCAACTATTGGGGGCTGGAAAAACTATCTCTAAATTTTTTCAGATGTTTTCGAAAGTCTATTTCAAAGATATGATTTTTTCTTGGTTTTTTGTATTTCTGTTAATAAGTCCAGTTCAATTCATCCGATTTTGATTTATAAGACGTCAAAATTATCGATTTGCTACCATCTTTAAGAATATTTTGAGTAATTTTTTTTCAACCCCTAGACGCTTATACTATCGAATTCTCAAAAAAAATTTGAAAACGTGGGATTTTCAAAATTATGTTACGTTTCACTTTTCTCGTGTTTTTTCAGTAACTCTTATAATCAAAACAGTAAGGAATTTCCGCCGTCAGACAAGTTGGGTTTCGTCCAAGATCTATTGCTTCCGCATGGAAGCTTTAAAAATGCAATTTTTTTCGATTCTATAATTAACTTCCCGACCTTAAGGGAGGAAGTTATTATAATTACCCCGAAAATCAAAATTGGAATTTTCATGATTTGTCGACGTTTCATGGCCCCTAGAATCATCCTGATACGTTTTTGAAGACATGTGTGTGTGTTTTTTTTTAATACGGGGAAAATTTCATTTACGCACACATTCAGGTTTGGAAATTCTCCGAGTGTAGTATCCGACTCGGTCTGGTCTGGATGGTGGCGATCACGAGCTGCCAAGGTTGGTGGGATCTGACTTATTTTAGTTCGGCGAATGTGCAACTAATACGGACTAAAAAACGTACCCCTATCACCAGCCTCTTATTTCCCCGTGGGATCGCCGCTAGGCATTACAGCACGGGGGGAGGATTTAGCCATATCTCTTCCTTCGGCTGGTCGAAGTCAGCGCTTCCTTCCTCCCATTGTTTCCTCATCCTTTTGTCTCTATTTCTTTCCCGTTCCGCCTTGCATAGGTCCTTTAGGACTTCCGCTGCGAAGGCGCTAGTTACATCCCAGGCTGCCTCTGAAGAAAGCATTGCTTCCACCAGGTTATCAGACTAAATCCTCCCTCCAAGTGCAGTCTCAAGAGTGCTGCGGGACACATTGAAGCGTGGATACATGAAGAACACATGCTCCGCATCTTTGGAGACTCCTATGCAGGCCGTGCACTCCGACGATGCCTCATATTTGAACTTATGAAGATATTGCTAGAAGCACCCGTGTCCTGAGAGCATCTGTGTCAAATAGTAATTAATCTCTCCATGTTATCGGTTAACCCATGCATCCAGTTGCGGGATCAGGCGGTGAGTCCATCTACCATTGATCAGGGCATTCCACAGCAACTGCCATCGATGCACACTGCTGGTCCTCTCGTCCGTCCTTAGCTCAGCTGCGTTCAACGCTGTTTTCGTTCCTCTGTAAGTACTTCTATGGGCAGCATCCCGGCGATGACACACACGGCATCTTCTGATAACGTGCGGAATGCGCTAGTCATTCTGAGGGCACTCATACGATAAGCCGATGCCACTTTTCGTCGTGCGTATTGGATCAAAAGTGCGTCAGCCCAGATAGCGATGCCATATGTGAGGACCGACATGACAACTGATAACAGCAACGCTCTTCTCTTATGCTTTGGCCCTCCGATGTTCGGCATGAGCCGAGAAAGGACGGTCCCAACTTCAAACGCCTTAGTGCCGACGTACTCCGCTTGCTACTTGAAGCTGAGCCGGGAATCAATCATCACTCCCAGGTAACGTAGCGATGGTTGGGACGTGATCTCATGATTCCCGACGTGCAGTGTGATGGTTTCAATCTTCTGTCGGCTCGTGATCAGCACAGCCGCCGTCTTGTGGTCTGTCAACATCAGTCCCACTGAGTCCATCCATTGACTAATCCTGTCATACGTAGTATCAAAGATATAACTGATCTCCAGGCATTTTGCAACGATTACTAGAGCTACATCGTCCGCAAATGCGACGAGTATAGCCTCCTTAGGTAACGTTAACTTCAGAAGACCCTCGGACATGACGTTTCACAAGAGAGGACCAAGCATTGAGCCTTGGGGAACACCACCAGTGACTCTGTACTCTTTGGGACCGGTGTCTGTATTGTATTTCAGGACTTTGTCAGTGAACTAGCTTCGCACCATCTTCCTCAGGTATCCTGGCACTTTCAGCTTTGAGAGGGTCTCCAGAATGCTGTCCTATCTGGCAGGGTTGGAGTAATTTTTCGCGCCCCATTTCCATCTCGTGCCAGAGATTGCGTCCCGTGCAATCGAGACGACTAGGTTGATGGCGTCAAGCGTGGAACGACCTCTACGGAAAACGTATTGGTTGTCAGTCGATTGTGGTTCGACCACTTCCTCGATCCTCTGGTGAAGTTTGCGCTCCAGAATATTTGCGGCTGTGTCCAACATGCAGAGTGGAAGGTAGAACGAGGGTTTGTCCGGTGGCTTCTTCCCTTTCGGAAGGAACACCAGTCTTTGCTGCTTCCACTTGGTTGGGAAAATCCCCGCCTGCAGACACCCATTATAGACGCTCAGGAAGGCTCCTGGCGCTGCGTTGATTGCAACCTTCAGGGCGATGTTCGGTATTCCATTCATTCCTGGTGACTTGGCGTTCCTGAATCTGCCACAAGCTTCCAGCATCTGATCGAGTGTCACTGATATAATCACCTCTGTATCGCACTTCTCGGTGAAGAAGTTGAGCTCCGGTTGTTGTGAGAATAGCACCGCTAAGATTTTCTCCAAAAGCTCAGGGCACGTAAGCGATGGAATCGGCTGGCTTCTCAGCTGCTTCATGACCACGCCATAGGGTCGCCCCCACGGATCTGCATCGATTTCATCAAGGAGCTCATTCCAGCACTGTCTCTAGCTTCCCTTGATCGCCCTATTAAGTGCCTGGCGTGCATCCTTGTACCTGATCTCCAGCCCCTCGGAGTTTGGCTTCTCGCGGCCTCGTTGTGCCTGCTTTCTCGCTGGAATGCAAGCCTTTCGGAGGGTGGCGATGGTGTTGTTCCACTAGTACACCAATGGGAGCCTGTTTGCACTATGCTTCCGGGGCACAGTTACATCGCAGGCTTCGCTGACTCTACGCATAAGTTCCCGCACTTTATCTGTGGCATTGCTTCGTCGGATCGGGCGAGCATCGAATGATTCTTGGAATATGCTGGAGTCGACGGTGTTCAACTTCCATCCAGCTGCGTTGGTCTTGCTGGCTGCTGTTCCGGTTTTTCGAATGGTGGATACTTCCCAGAAGATCACGTGGTGGTCACTGGCAGTGTAGATATTCATCATCTCCTAGCTGTAGCCTTCCCTAGTGAGGCTCCTGCTTACGAAGGTGAGGTCCACGATTGAACTAGCTCCTCTTCTCTCGAAAACTGGTTTCTGGCCACTGTTCAGCAGTACCACGTCCAAGAAAAACATGGCCTCCAATAGAGTTTGACCGCTTGCGTTTGTTTTCTTGTGTGTATATGTGTGTGTGTTTTTTTTGTCTGTTGGGAGAATGCATTTACGCATGACCACTTGAGGAAGGGGACAGCAGGATCCCTCCGTCAAATGAGTGTCAGACTCGGACAAAACTGTCAATACCGACTAAACTCCAGTCAGACATATTTCCACTAAGATTTCATCCCCTCGCGGCACCACTGTAAAGTATTATTTCGCGAGGGAGGTCTCAGCTGTTTGCTCTTCCACGTTTTTTCATCTAATGTACGTCCCCCTATTCCGCTAAGATGCTGTGCGTGATTAGGAGGTTCCGAAAAGATTTCTCACCTATACGGCAGCCTTGTACTTGCGTTTCTCATTTCTGAGCTCCTTCATGACTTCGGCCACAAAGTTACTCGTTGCGTCCCAGGCTGTCTTTGATGACAGCATTGCTTCCACCAAGCTCTGAGGCTTGACGTCTCTTCCTAGGTAAGACTCCCACGTACTTCGGATCTCATTGAAGCGGGGGCATATAAAGAATACATGCTCTGCGTCTTCGTCCACTCCTGTGCAAACTGAGCACTCCCGGGAATCTTCATGTTTGTATTTATGAAGATAGGCCCGGAAACACCCGTATCCTGAAAGCATTCGTGACAGGCAATAATTGACCTCTCCATATTTTCGACTTACCCAGACGGCCACCTGTGGGTTCAGGCGACGAGTCCATCTCCCCTTGATAGAAGCATCCCACTCTCGCTGCTATGTAAGCTCTTACGCCTCTCATCTGCGCTGAGTTCTGCTGCGCTTTGTGTTTCCGACTTCTTGCGTCGATACAGAGACCTTCGCTCTTCGGCCAATAACTCAATAGGTAACATTCCGGCAATGACGCACACTGCGTCCTCGGACACCGTGCGGTATGCGCTCGCTACTCGCAGAACACTCAGTCGATAGCTTGGTGCTAACTTTCGCCATGATTACTGCAGCTGCAGTGCATCAGCCCAGATGGAAATACCATAGGTGAGCGCTGACGTGACCACCGATGATAGCAGCGCTCATCGTCTTTGTTTAGGACCGCCGATATTAGGCATGAGGCACGATACAGCAGATCTGAGTGTAGACGCCTTGGCACCCACGTGCTCGGTTTGCTGCTTAAAATTGAGTGGAGCGCCGATCATCACCCTCAGGTATCGGATGTAAGGCTGAGAAGTAATTTCACAGGACCCGACCTGCAGCAATATTGTCTCTATTTCCTTTCTGCTGGTGATCAGCATAGCCTCTGTCTTGTGTTCCGCCAGTTTCAGGCCCACTGTGTCCATCCCACAGCGGATCGTTTCGAAGGTCGTGTTGAAGGTGTAGTTGATCTCCTCCAAGTATTTGCCCACAATGAGTACAGCCACGTCATCTGCAAATGCCACGGGTTTAGTGTCCCGGGGCAATCTCACTTTCAGCAGCCCGTCATACATGATGTTCCACGGCACCGGGACAACCGTACCTACGACAACTCTACCAGCGTGAAACCCTCCCGAAAATATCTGTACCGAAATATAGTTCTACCGCACCAACTTGGTTTTCCGACATGTTTACCGGGTTAGAAGACTATCAATGGTGCAATACTACCGCAGGAGAACCGTACCAAGCGCCAAGCCCACCGAATTATACCCCTATCGATGTCAAGAATCTTGAATTCGAACAACTCTACCGCGCAACAACCGTACCAAGCGCCAAGCCTACTGAATTATACCCCTATTGATGTTGTCTTGAATTAGAACAACTCTACAGCGGGACAACCCCACCAAACTAGCAAGCCTACCGCGGTACAACCCTACCGACCATATTGAAATAATTTTTCATCATAACCTGTTATTTGTAATGTTTTTCCTCGCTATTCCTCAGGGTATGATTTTTAAATGGCAAAGAATTACTGAATTTCGTGAATTTAATTGTTTATTTAATAATTAATAATTCAAATATGTCAATTATCTATGTATTATCATTGATTCAAATATAATTATTAATTAACAGTGTCACCTTGAAAAAATGCAACGCTTTGTGTGTCTGTTCCATTCAGCTATAATTTGACCACACTCAAAGGTATAACTATAGCCATGGCTATTCCTGTAAAAATTTATAGATATTCCTACACATAATTATAGATCGAGCTATACTTACACTATAGCTATGATGCTATCTATAAATATAACTATAGTTATAGCTGTATAGTTAAAAAACCTATAGCTATACAGATTTATGTGGCTGATATATCTACCCATTCATATAGATATAATTACGACAATATTTCCGTAATTATTTTAATAGACATATGCACTACTAAGGCCCAACGGATAGGCTTACTATAGGATACTTTCTATTAAATTTCTATAGAATTTCCTCGGTTCAAATTTTCTGTTTTTTTTGGTCTGATTTCCTTGATGGAAAGAAAGGAAAAAATAGAATGAAAAAAACTTGGGGAATTCGAGTCGAGAAAATTCTATAGAAGATATTTTAATGAAATAAGTTGTATAGAAAAATCGAATTCAATTGCCTGTTGCTATAGATTATTTTCTATTTAATATGTCCATAGAAATTGCCAAAAACTTATAGAAAGTTCTATAGGAATCGCACTATACCCTAGTCAGTGAATAACGTGAGAATTCTGGGAATTCTATTCGCAGATCTATCAGAATTGGAAAAAAAAGTATACGAATATGTGTGTGTCGATTTTTCACATTCATTTGGGGGGAGAAGTAGAAGAATGTTGGAAGGTAAGTGTTTCAATGACTACTTACTCTAGAATAAAGTTACCGTTATCTCCATGGATGAGCTTAATTGAGTTTTTTTTTCTAATTCTCACTTGAGTACGACTCCGGAAAATAAATAGCAATTATTTCTGCGCAACCAATTTTTATTATTAACTATACAAGAAGTGATGCCAACGCATATCATGGACAAATGACGATATGTTAGTAATTGGTCATGTTTCATTGATGAATATGTGGGAGAAAAATGGGGATTTCTTTTCACGAGTGTTGAAAAATTATATTGTCTCGATAGCATGTATTTATTTTATTGGAGAATATTCGAAAATTATTCGGGATTATTGATATTTCCTATTTGTTTATGAAATGTTTTTTGTTCAGATAAGAAAATGTGTTGGCTCAAAACCATTGTTCACTGACAGATATTTTTCCTATGTTTATATTAGAGATTCTTTGAGAAAAAAATTGACAAACATTGTAAAATATTAGACTATGCATTCGTAGGATAAGGATAATAATAACATGAAGGTGCTTGATTATGTATGTAGATCAAGCAAAAAGTCATTATTCTTGCATGTTATGACGGTTTTCATTTCTGTTGAAATATTCAACACATGTTCATCAATGAAATATTGAACAATTACTGAACATATCATCATTTGTCCATGATATGGGTTGGCATCACTTCTTTTATAGTTAATAATAAAAATTAGTTGCACAAAAATAATTGCTATTTATTTTCCGGAGTCGTACTCAATTGAGAATTAAAAAAAAAAAACTCAATTAAGCTCATCCATGGAGATAACGGTAACTTTACTCTAAAGTAAGTAGTCATTAAAACACTTACCTTCCAACATTCTTCTACCTCTCCACCTAAATGAATGTGAAAAATCGACACACACATATTCGTATACTTTTTTTTCCAATTCTGATAGATCTGCGAATAGAATTCCCAGAATTCTCACGTTATTCACTGACTAGGGTATAGTGCGATTCCTATAGAACTTTCTATAAGTTTTTGGCAATTTCTATGGACATATTAAATAGAAAATAATCTATAGCAACAGGTAATTGAATTCGATTTTTCTATACAACGTATTTCATTAAAATATCTTCTATAGAATTTCCTCGTCTCGAATTTCCCCAGTTTTTTTCATTCTATTTTTTCCTTCCTTTCCATCAAGGAAATCAGACAAAAAAACAGAAAATTTGAACCGAGGAAAGTCTATAGAAATTCAATAGAAAATATCCTATAGTAAGCCTATCCGTTGGGCCTCAGTAGTGCATACATCTATTAAAATAATTACGGAAATATTGTCGTGAATAGGTAGATATATCTCCTGGGTGAAGCGGAAATTTTTTCTCTCTAAATTCTAATTCTCTTAGAATTCTCAGCCACATAAATCTGTATAGCTATAGGTTTTTCAACTATACAGCTACAACTATAGTTATATGTATAGATAGCCACATAGCTATAGTGTAAGTATAGCTCGATCTATAATTATGTGTAGGAATATCTATAAATTTCTATAGGAATAGCTATGGCTATAGTTATACCTTTGAGTGTGGTCAAATTACAGCTGAATGGAACAGACACAAAAAGCGTTGCATTTTTTCAAGGTGACACTGTTGATTAATAATTATATTTGAATCAATGATGATACATAAATAATTGACATATTTGAATTATTAATTATTAAATAAACAAATAAATTCACGGAATTCAGTAATTCTTTGCCATTTAAAAATCACACCCTGAGGAATACCGAGGAAAATCATTACAAATAAAAGGTTATTGTGAAAAATTATTCCCATATGGCCGGTAGGGTTGTATCGCGGTCGGTTTGTTAGTTTGGTGGGGTTGTCCCGCGGTAGAGTTGTTCGAATTCAAGATTCTGGACACCATCGATAGGGATATAATTCGGTGGGCTTGGCACTTGGTACGGTTGTTCCGCGGTAGAGTTCTTCGAATTCCAGATTCTTGACATCGATAGGGGTGTAATTCGGTGGGCTTGGCGCTTGGTATGGGTGTCCCGCGGTAGTATTGCACCATTGATAGTGTTCCAACCCGGTAGACTTGTTGGAAAACCAAGTTGGTGTGGTAGAACTATACGGTGGAGATATTTCCGGGAGGGTTTCAGGCTGGTAGAGTTGTCCTAGGTACGGTTGTCCCGATGCCGTCCGCAAACAGGGGTTCGACTGCTGTTTCTGTCCGTTGATGGATGATACGGTCGAGAATCTTGCCACCGGTATCGAGCATACAGAGGGGACGGTATGATAAAGGGTCGCCCGGTGGTTTTTTCCCTTTCGGGAGTAGGACTAATCTCTGCTGCTTCCACGCGGCAGGGAAGGTGCCCTATCTTAGGCACTCGTTGTATACGTCCACGAAAAGCTAAGGTATCACGTGGATAGCTGACTTCAGTGCGATATTGGAAATTCCTTCAAAACCAGGGGCCTTGGTGTTACCCACTCTACGGCAGGCTTCCATCAGTTCTTCCTTAGTAATTGGTGGAACCATCATCTCTTCCCATTATTTGCCTGTGCGATGAAGTTCTGGCTGTTGCAGGAACAATATCTCGACGATTTTTTTCATCAGCACAGCACACGTTGGTGACGGCATTGGTTGACTATTTAGTCTCGACATCACCACCTTGTATGGTCTATCCCACATATCGCTTTCCACCTCAGCAAGGAGTTCCCTCCAAGATTGCTTTTTACTGCACTTGATGGCTTTGCTGAGGTTTCGGCGTGCTTTCTTATATCTCGTCTGCAACTGCTCAAAATTCTACTTCTTGCGGCCACGCTGAGACCGTCTCCTAGCTGCATTACACTCCTTTCGCAGGATGGCGATGGTTTCATTCCACTAATTCACCGGTGGGTGCCGGTTTGTGGTCCGCTTCCTGGTCATGGTTGCATCGCAAGCTTCCATCAGCCTTCTCATGAAGTTTTGTACTTTTTCAGTGGCATTGCTGTCACTGATCAGGCGATCGTCCAATGCTGCTGAATACCAGCTAGGATCAAAAGTGCC